CAATGCCTCAGTTTGAGAATCAGCTAGGCGCGCACATACGGTTCACAGCCCTCCGCAACAGCGCGAGAGCACGTGAACGGGAATTATCAACAATTCCCTAGCTCGAACGGTCAGCCCAATCGAGCTCAGTTCCAAGGAGCTAACGATTCCATGAATCAAGCTCCATTCTATCCGATTCCAGCTAATCGGAATCCAGCTGATCCACGTAACCTCGTCGACAGCGAATCTTTCGAAAGATTCCAAGATCGCACAGACCTCGCGTTTCAGCATATGAGCTCAATGTTTCATCAAGCAACGAGCTCAGCTCCTGATATCGACAGAGTGATTAAAGAGTCTAGACGAACTCCTTTTTCACTCAGGATCAAAAGTACCTATATCCGAGATACCAGCAAGCTGCGTATCCCAGAATACTCTGGTAACAGCGATCCGAGAGCTTACATGCGAGCTTTTAACCTCGTCGTATCTCGAGTTCCTTTCTCTCCAGAAGAGATAGAAGCAGCCTACTGCAGGCTCTTCGCTGAGAACCTGATCGGACCAGCTCAAGAATGGTTCTCAACGCTGGACGAAAACTCAATCGATAATTTCGACCAGCTCCAATCAGCCTTCCTAAAACAGTATTCGATCTTCATCGAATCTAAAATTACGGAAGCAGACCTTTGGAGACTTTCTCAAGGTCCAAAGGAATCACTTCGATCTTACATTGACAGATTCAAATCAGTCAAAGCTAAGATCACAAACCCTAATGAGGCAGTAGCTCTACTTGCCCTCAAAAACAACTTGTGGTACGAATCGAAATTTAGAGAAGAACTAACTGTTCGACCTACAATTTCACTAGATGACGCATTACATCGCGCATCAGCATTCGCAACTCTCGAGGAAGACACAGCTCTCCTCAGAGAAAAGTACCTCAAAGGGGAGCTCGCATATGCTCCACCAGGTGCTAAGAAAACTGCACCAGCTAAACCACCTTCGCAGAGTAAAGGACAACATTCCTACTCTATCGAAACTTCAGCTCCCATAAAGAGCTCGGAGGAAGAAGAGAAACACTGCGATATTCACAATACAAACGGCCATTCCACAGAGGAATGCCGTGCTAAAGGCAAAAAGTCTAGCAAAAAGAAGGGAAAAAGCAAAACAGCTGAAACCGCGGTTAAGGCCGAAAAGCCAAAACCCAAACCAGCTAAAGACTCCGACAACGCACCTCAGAAAAGAGAACGCGAAGTCGAGGTCGAAGCCCCCGATTCCCCTCCTTCTAACAGGAAAAGAATCGACCTAATCTTCGGAGAGCTCAGCCTTTGCGGCGGCTCAACGAGATCCGTGGTCACCCCCCCACCCGCTCCTAGAAAGGCTACGAGCTCTAGCTCACACAGACCTCCTAGACTTGTCGGGGGGATAGAGCATTCTTACAGAAGCTCGCCTGTTACATCACCTACCTCCAGACCCGATACTAAGAGCATTGCGATCTCTTGCTTACGCAGACTTCACAAGCTCTCGGGGGGAGTAGAGCCACCTACCCCTAAACGAATTGACTTCATTTGCGGTGGCTCGAAGATGTGCAAAGACTCGATTAACTCGATCAAAGCACATCAGCGACGGGTCGAGTCATCTGGACAACCACGTCCTCTAGACGGACCTGATCACGAAATCAAATTTCGAGAAAGCGAAACACTCGCACTCGATAAACCTCATGACGATGCACTCGTAATCGAGCTCGCCGTAGCCGGATTCGAGCTGACCAGAGTCATGATAGACACAGGAAGCTCTGTAGACGTGCTGTTCTACGATGCTTTCAAGCGAATGGGATTCGAAAACTCCGCACTCATAGGAGGCCGTACGCCCCTAACTGGGTTCGCAGGAGAAACGACCTATTCCATGGGAACTATCCAGCTCCCAATCAAAGCAGGTGGTATAACGAAAACAGTTGACTTTGTGGTCGTAGATCGCCCCGCGCCATTCAATGCCATTCTCGGCAGGCCGTGGCTCTACACCATGAAAGCAGTTGCATCCACTTACCACCAATGCGTCAAGTTCCCTACACCTTGGGGAACAAAAACAATTCGCGGTTGCCAACGAGCTTCCCGAGATTGCTATATGGGCAGCTACTTGCGAGCTGAAAAATCGCCAGTATAGCAATTACAGAAAGAAGAGGAGCTCGCGATTCGGCAGATCAAACATGGCAAAGATCCGACCGTCCGCGAACCTCGAAAAGACTTGGTCACTCAGGTTTGCATCGACGAAACCGACCCCGAAAGGCGCGTTGGTATCGGAATCGATCTCGCAAAACCTATCCGTGACGAGCTGATCGCCTTCCTAAAGGAAAACATCAGCACATTCGCATGGTCCACCGCGGACATGCCCGGGATTGACACTAGGATCACGTCTCACGAGCTGAACGTAGATCCCACGTTCAAACCCATGAAACAAAAACGTCGAAAACTCGGCCCAGATCGGGCTAAAGCAGTAAACGACGAAGTAGACCGACTACTCAAGGTAGGCTCGATCAGAGAGGTGAAATACCCCGACTGGTAGCTAATCCTGTAGTTGTCAAAAAGAAAAACGGAAAGTGGAGAGTCTGTATCGATTTCACAGACCTTAATAAAGCTTGTCCAAAAGACAGCTATCCACTTCCTCATATAGATCGCTTGGTCGAAGCTACGGCTGGTCACCAGCTCCTATCCTTCATGGATGCGTTTTCTGGGTATAATCAAATCAAGATGAACCCAGAAGATCAGGAGAAAACAGCTTTCATAACAGACCGAGGTACTTACTGCTACAAAGTAATGCCATTCGGGCTAAAAAACGCGGGAGCTACATATCAGCGCCTCGTAAACAAAATGTTTGCCGATCAGCTCGGTAAAACAATGGAGGTGTACATAGACGATATGCTGGTCAAATCCTCTAGGGAAACAGACCACGTCGCACAGCTCCGGGTATGCTTCTCCATACTTAACAAGTACGGCATGAAGCTGAACCCGACTAAGTGTACATTCGGAGTTCCGTCTGGCGAGTTCCTCGGTTACCTAGTAACTGAACGCGGAATCGAGGCGAACCCGAAGCAAATCTCTGCCCTCTTAGATATGCCTTCTCCAGAAAATACTAGAGAAGTACAACGGTTAACCGGTCGAATAGCAGCCCTTAATAGGTTCATTTCCCGGTCAACCGACAAGTGTCTTCCATTTTACCAGCTCCTCCGAGGAAATAAAAAATTCCTCTGGGACGAAAAATGCGAAGAAGCTTTCAAACAGCTCAAAACTTACCTCAGCGAACCTCCTATACTGGCAAAACCAGTAGAAGGAGAACCGCTATACCTTTACATCGCGGTCTCGCCTGCAGCGGTCAGCGGGGTCTTAGTTCGTGAAGAGCTAAACGAACAAAGACCAATCTTTTACGTAAGTAAATCCCTGATTGATGCCGAGACTAGATACCCAGCTATGGAAAAACTTGCCTTAGCAATAGTAATGTCCGCTCGCAAGCTGCGACCTTACTTTCAATCACACACAATCGTGGTGATGACCTCGCAACCATTGCGAACTATGCTACATAGTCCAAGTCAATCTGGACGACTAGCTAAATGGGCTATCGAGCTCAGCGAATACGACATCGAATATCGAACTAGAACCTGTGCTAAAGCCCAGGTACTAGCTGATTTCATGATCGAGCTGGCACCGGAAGCCAATAACGATACCACCCTCTCTAAAGTTTGGACACTCTTCGTAGATGGAGCCTCGTCCAAACAAGGAGCTGGCGTCGGAATCAAACTCACATCTCCAACCGGAGAAGTGATCGAACAATCGTTCAGACTCGGATTCGTCGCCTCTAACAATGAGGCCGAATACGAGGCACTCATAGCCGGACTCCGACTCGCAATCGGGATCGGCGTGAATGAGATCAACGCATTCAGCGACTCCCAGCTCGTTACTAGCCAATACAGCGGCGAGTACGAAGCAAAAGAGGAGCGCATGGAAGCTTATCTCAAAGTAGTTCGAGATTTAGCTGGACAATTCAGTAAATTCGAACTAACTAGGGTGCCTAGGGGAGAGAACACTTCGGCTGACGCCTTAGCTGCTCTCGCCTCCACTTCGGACCCAACTGTAAGACGTGTGATCCCAGTCGAAGGCATAGATAAACCTAGCATCGACATCGCACTCAAGTCTGACAGTATAAACGCAATTACCTCGCGCCCGTCTACTCGTTCTCAAACTAGACAGTCCCAAGATCCGGGACCATCTAACCCGGAACCTGATTCCGAGGAAGAAGAACCTGTCCAAGATAGGCAAAAAACAAGGTATATCGATTCGGACTCTTCGCAAAATACGCAAGAGTCCACGATCCATACCGTCCCATCTGCTATGGCGAACGAACTCACCTTAAGGAAGAGTTCGCTGCGAGACCCGACTGGAGAACCCCTATCATGGAGTATATCCAGCTCGGAGCCGTCCCCAACGAAAAGTGGGCTTCTCGCAAGCTAAAAGCCCAGAGCTCGCATTACTGTATAATCAACCATAAGTTGTACAAGCGAAGTCTCTCTGAACCATACTTAACGTGCATTCACGGCAAAGAAGCCTACACCGTAATGCACGAGACTCATCAAGGACCTTGCGGAAGTCATTCCGCAGGCCGAGTGTAACATCCGCGGACCAGAAATCTAGAAAATGGCCGAAGGAACTGGTCCGGGAAGATAGTTTTGGCCGAGGAAAATGGAAGAATCCGAATGTACTGAGAAATTTGAGCTGGAACGACTAAGTGTGGGAACCTCATGCAACTGGAAATGCTAAGTAAAACCGGACCTAAAATTTGACTAAGTTAAATTTATCAGGAAAACCGGACTAGGGTGCTTCAAGTTGGTATCAGAGCATGGTCGGTTCTAGGATAGTCTTTATGCATAGACGGGTAGTGGGTTTACATCCATCCTTCCAAGGCAGTCTCGCGGATTATTGTTTGTACTGTTTGCCTAGGAACTAAGTTAGTCGTGCGGCTAACTTATAAATCTGAACTTGCAGATGGCTAAGAGTAAGAGTACTAGAAGGAATGTGCAAGAGACTGGGGAAAACTCAGGCGTGAATGATCCGAATGGTCGGAATCCTGAGGTGGATGCACCGAATGCTACTGAAGCGGCCACTGAGGCTGCTGCTGCTGCTGCCGCCGCTGCTGCCGCGGCTCCTCCCGTTGGGATCGAAGCCCTGTTGGGACTGCTCGCCCAAGTGTTGGAGCGTCTGCCCGTTCCTCCCGCTCCCGCAGCGGAACCGGAAGTGGTTGAGGAACCGGTGGAAATGAATGTGAATGTGGGTGTGGAAGAGGATCCGGGAGAAAGGGTTCCATCGTATCTGCGGATGATGGAACAGATGCAGAAGCTGGGAACCCGGTTCTTCTCCGGAGGTGGATCCAAGCCGGTTGAGGCGGACCAGTGGATCACTCGATTGGAGCGGAACTTTAGTTCCATCCGTTGTCCCAGACAGTACAAGAGGGACATTGCGATCCACTACCTGGAAGGGGATGCACATACTTGGTGGGGAGGTATTGTTGCTCGGAACGGAGGTGTTCAGAACTGCACTTGGATGATCTTCCGTGAGGAGTTCACGAAGAAGTTCTTCCCACCAGAGGCGTTTGATAGGATGGAGATGGCGTTTCTGAACTGCGCCAAGGCAGTAAGACCGTCCGGGAGTATGAGGCGGAGTTTAACTCTCTGAAGAAGTTCGCTGGGCGCGAACTGGACAGGGAGAGCGCGCAAGTCCGTAGGTTCATGCGCGGCCTTAGGGCAGATATTCAGAATCGTTGCCAGATCCGTAGCTTCGATACTGTTGCCGAGTTAGTCGAGTAGGCGGCTCAGCAGGAGACTGGAATGATCGAGGAGATGAAACTGATGGGAAAGGAACTCCATGTTCAGTCTAAGAACATAGTCGGGAAGAACCCGAACGCTTCCGGCAAGTCGACTGCGGGACGCAGTGCATGTCCGGAATGCGGAAAGAATCATGCTGGCCCGTGTAGGAAGGCTTCTGGTGCATGTCTTAGCTGTGGAAGTCAGGACCACAAGGTTCGTGACTGTCCAGAGGAAGATAAGAGGCCGAAGGATCAGGCTAAGGAAGGCCGAGTAGTGGTCTGTTACGGATGTAACGAGACGGGACACTACAAGGACAAGTGCCCACACAGACAGACAACTGGAAAGCGAGCAAGTGAGGGACCGGACTCGAGTGCAAAGAGGCAGGCGGTCACTCCTCGTGTGTACTCGATTGGAGATGCGGCCACGGACCCAAGCTCATCTCGTCCGATCACTGGTTAGTCCCATCACTTAGTTGTTTAAGTGTCTGTGTGAATAGCTAGGAGTAGCTAGTTGCTTGTTCTGTGGAAAGATAGGTTCTTAGCATTCGGATGAATGTGTAGGGACCTTAATCATGGGTGGCGTGGCGGCCCATGTTCTGTTTGATTCGGGTGCATCGCATTGCTTTGTACACCCGAGTCTGGTCGGCACTGGCGAGTTCCGCAAGGAACCCGGTGAAGACCATGGAATGGTTCAAGCGGCTAGTGGCCAAGTTATGTTTACCTTGGGGAAGATCAGGAACGTGTCGGTTATGATCGGAGAGGTAAACATGCCAGCTGACTTAGTGATTTGCGCGGTGAAGTCTTATGATGTGATCCTTGAAATGGATTGGCTTGGGAAGCACAAGGCACATCTAGACTGTCATCGGGGAAGAGTGTGGTTTGAAACCGAGAAGGGTAAACTGAAGTATCAGGGAGTTAGACCGACAGCGGGAAGCTTGATCATTTCGGCGGTCCAAGCGGATCGGATGATCGAGAAGGGCTGTGAAGCGTACTTGGCCGCGATCACTACTACGGAAGTCGGGAAAGACGCTAGCCTTAGCGAGATTCCAGTAGTTAGTGAATTCGAGGATGTGTTCCAGGCATTGTCTGGACTGCCTCCGGATCGATCGGATCCGTTCACGATCGAACTGGAACCTGGAACCGCCCCGGTGTCTAAGGCATCTTACCGGATGGCGCCGGCTGAGATGGCCGAACTGAAGAAGCAGCTGAACGACCTAATGGAAAAGGGTTTTGTTCGGCCAAGTAGTTCGCCATGGGGTGCACCTGTTCTGTTCGTGAAGAAGAAAGACGGAAGTTTTAGACTCTGTATAGATTACCGCGGTTTGAACCGGGTAACAGTGAAGAACAAGTACCCTCTCCCGAGGATAGACGAGTTGTTGGACCAACTCCGAGGTGCTACTTGGTTCTCAAAGATCGATTTAGCCTCGGGCTATCATCAGATTCCGATAGCAGAGTCGGATGTGAGAAAGACCGCCTTTAGGACGAGGTACGGTCACTATGAGTTCGTGGTCATGCCGTTCGGGCTGACCAATGCACCGGCTGCATTTATGAAACTCATGAACAATGTGTTCCGAGATTGCTTGGATGAGTTCGTTATCATCTTCATTGATGATATACTGATTTACTCTAAGAGTCCGGAGGAACATACGGTCCATTTGAGTACGGTGATGAAGCGGTTGCGGGAGCATCACCTATTCGCCAAGCTCAGTAAGTGTAGCTTCTGGCAAAGGGAAATTGGATTCCTAGGCCATGTGGTCTCGGACAAGGGAGTGTCCGTGGATCCGGAGAAGATCAAGTCGATCGCAGAATGGCCAAGACCAAGGAATGCGTCGGAGATAAGGAGCTTCTTAGGTCTGGCCGGATATTACAGACGGTTTGTGAAAGGATTTGCGAGTATGGCGTCGCCCATGACTCGACTCACCGGAAAGGATGTTTGGTTTGAGTTGTCGGCCGAGTGTGAGAAGTGTTTTGGGAAGCTTAAGGACATGCTTACCAGCACTCCGGTCTTGACCATACCGAGGCCGGATGAGCCGTATACGGTGTACACAGACGCATCTAAGACAGGACTTGGGTGTGTACTGATGCAACACGGAAGTGTTATTGCCTATGGGTCTAGGCAGTTGCGGAAACACGAGTGTAACTATCCTACACACGATCTGGAGATGGCCGCGGTAGTGTTCGCGCTGAAGATTTGGAAACCTTACTTGTATGGTGCCAAGGTTCAAGTCTTCACGGATCACAAGAGTTTGAAGTACATCTTCACTCAGCCAGGATTGAACATGAGACAGCAAAGATGGATGGAGTCCATTGCTGATTTCGATGTGGATATAGCTTACCATCCGGGTAAAGCTAACTTGGTCGCGGATGCCTTAAGCCGGAAGAGAGTGGCTAAGGATTCGGACAAGGATATGTCTGGTCTGGTCGAGATGATCGGGACATTAAGACTGGCCGCCTTGACTGACGAATTGGAACCGTTAGGTCTTGGTGCGGCGGACCAGGCGGACTTACTGACTAGAGTCAGATTGGCTCAGCAGTTGGACGAGGAGTTGGTTAAAGCGTCCAAGAATGAGCAGACTGAGTATCAGGTTTCTAAGAATGGAACGATCGTGGTGCACGGTCGAGTGTGTGTTCCAAAGGATCAGGAACTGCGGGAAGAGATCCTTAAGGAAGCTCACCATTCAAAGTTTTCCATTCATCCGGGATCGACCAAGATGTATCAGGACTTGAAAAGATACTATCATTGGGTCGTGATGAAGCGGGATGTGGCTAAGTGGATAGCCGGATGCCAAACCTGTCAAATGGTTAAGACAGAACATGAAGTGCCGGGTGGATTGTTGCAGAGTCTACCTATCCCAGAATGGAAATGGGATATGATCACGATGGACTTCGTGACCGGACTGCCCGCGTGCGGAAAGTTGGATGCGATATGGGTTATAGTCGATAGACTGACTAAGTCTGCGCATTTCCTGGCTATCAGTAAGAATGAAAGGCGGACTCATTGGCTAAGATCTATGTGGAAGAGATCGTTAAGCTACATGGTGTGCCGGCCAGTATAGTCTCGGATAGAGATGCGCGGTTTAGTTCTTCTTTCTGGAGAGCGTTTCAGAAACGTCTCGGTACTAAGGTGCACATGAGTACGGCCTATCATCCTCAGACGGATGGCCAGTCGGAACGGACTATCAGAACACTCGAGGACTTGTTGAGAACGTGTGTTCTGGACTGGGGCGGCAAGTGGAAGGATTACTTGCCTTTGGCCGAGTTCTCATACAACAACAGTTTTCAGGCAAGCATTGGGATGTCGCCATATGAGGCACTGTATGGTCGACCTTGCCGAACACCGTTGTGTTGGACTCAAGTGGGGGAGCGGAGTCTCTATGGTCGGGACTTCGTGGAAGAAACCACTGAACGGATTAGAGTCCTGAAGCTGAAGATGAAAGAAGCTCAGGATCGGCAAAAGAGTTATGCGGATAAGCATCGCCGGGAGTTAGAGTTTCAGGCCGGAGACATGGTCTTCGTCAAGCTGATAACCTTTAAGGGAAAGGATAAGGCTGCGGCGACTGGGAAGCTAAAGCCGAGGTACATGGGACCGTACAAAGTCCTGGAAAGGATTGGAGCTGTAGCGTACAAGTTGGAATTGCCACCAGCCTTGGTCGCGTTCCATCCGGTCTTTCATGTATCTTTACTGAGGAGACGCGTGACAAACGGGGATAACGTTGTGTCCGAACCTCCGCCCGACTTACAGGAGAATCTGACGGTCGAAGGCAGACCGGTTCGGATAGTAGGTCGAAGGGTCAAGTCAGTTGGCCGGAAGAGAATTAAGATGGTGCAAGTCGTTTGGGACTGTGAAGGAGAAGAAGAAACGACTTGGGAACCAGAAAGTAGGATGGAAGAGAAATTCTCTAAGTGGTTTGAGAAGCAACCGAAGGCTCCACCAAAGCCTAAGAAAGGCAAGGATTCGAGGGCGAATCCAAAGTGAGTGGGGGAGACTTGTAACATCCGCGGACCAGAAATCTAGAAAATGGCCGAAGGAACTGGTCCGGGAAGATAGTTTTGGCCGAGGAAAATGGAAGAATCCGAATGTACTGAGAAATTTGAGCTGGAACGACTAAGTGTGGGAACCTCATGCAACTGGAAATGCTAAGTAAAACCGGACCTAAAATTTGACTAAGTTAAATTTATCAGGAAAACCGGACTAGGGTGCTTCACCGAGCTCTCGTCATACGGATTAAAAAGCTAGGCTACTTCTGGCCAACAATGATAGCGGATTGCGAGCAGTATTCTAGGCGATGTGATAAATGCCAGAGGCACGCCCCAAGCATTCACGTCCCAGCTGAAACACTCTCGTCGATCTCTTCACCTTATCCTTTTATGAGGTGGTCTATGGACATAGTAGGGCCTATGGTCTCTTCGGGACCAAAGCAATTCCAATACCTACTAGTCCTTACCGACTACTTCACTAAATGGATCGAGGCCAAACCATACCAACAAACGACCGAACTCGAGGTCCGGAAATTCATCTGGAAAGACATCATCTGTCGACACGGGCTCCCTACGAGATCGTGACAGATAATGGATCTCAGTTCATAGCTCGAACATTCAAAGACTTCTGCAAGAAGTGGAACATACGCATAACGTATTCCACACCTCGTTATCCTCAAGGAAACGGGCAAGCTGAAGCAACAAACAAAACCCTCTTGAGTAACCTCAAGAAACGGCTCGACGCCCGTAAACATAGGTGGTCCGAAGAGCTCGCAGCAGTTCTTTGGGCTTGCCGAACTACACCTCACAAAGCTACTCATGAGACCCCGTTCTCATTAGCTTACGGGCTAGAGGCCGTCATCCCAACTGAAACTTCCGTTCCAAGTCTTCGCAGGATGCAATGTCCAGCGAACGTCGAGCTGAACGAAGAAATGTTGAGAGATCACCTTGACCTTATCGACGAACGTCGAGATCAAGCTCTGATCCGGATACAAAACTATCAACAGGCCGCAGCTCGCTATTATAATTCCAAGGTTAAGCACCGAAGATTTCATATAGGCGACATGGTCTGAGAAAAGTACAAGACTATACCAAAGAGCCCGGTGCGGGAAAACTTGGGACCAACTGGGAAGGTCCCTACCTCAACCGAAGTAGTTCGCGATGGCGTCTACAAGCTCACAAAAGTCAGAAACGGAATACCTGAACTAAGACCTTGGAATGCGATGAACCTGAAAAGGTACTATCACTGAAAAGGATCTAATCTGAGTATCTCCACCCCTCGAACTACGTTTAGGCTTGATCCTCCTTCCCTGGGGGTACGTAGGCAGCTCAACCACGAGTCCAGCCCCAATCCGAATTTACTTCGTTTTATTTGAGACGACCTCATTGGCCGGCCCTAAAACGGGCTCGATTTGTATCATCTCGAATATTATACTTAAATAAAATGTTTTCTATGTTTATCGCTACGAATTGCTCGAATCGACTCAGCAAGTCCTTAAGAAATTCCGAATTACTTAAGCGTATCAATTTACGTCGAAAACGCCTGATCTTGCGTGACCTGAAAAGAAATCGAGCTCTTTCTCTCGTCTCAAAACAGATCGGAAGATCGAGATCACCTCGATATTCCCCTTTCGAACGAAGTGAGGTTCAGAGTCCACCTCTTTACCTTCAATTTCTTACTTCGCAAAAACCAATCGAAGTCCGCAGCGTCCAAGCATCCAGCGTAGTGTTCTAGCAATCGTAGAACCGAAGACCCAGAGACAGCCCGAAATCTAACACGAAGCCGAGCCATCCAGACGGACCTGAAGTTCACGATTAGCTCGGAACACTATCGGCGAAGCGACAAAACCAAGACGAACTTCGAAAGGTAATAAATTCCATCTCCAAAAGCCGAATAAGAAACACCTCGATCGAAAGACGGGAAAACAACTCCGCAAAGCGCGAGCTACATCAGTTCGCCAAAGAGCTCGAAAAAGAATAAACACCACGTTTAGCTCGATCCATGCGATCGACGAAAATTGGTAAAATTCGCCTAAGTGTTGAATCGATCTAATCGTCCCGAATTGGACTTGATTCGACCTAAAACTATGTTTAGCTCGTTCCACGCGATCAGCCAAAACTAGTAAAATTCGCCTAAGTGTTGAATCGATCTAATCGTCCCGAGTCGGACTCGATTCGACCTAAAACTACGTTTAGCTCGAACACGATCGGCAAAAACTAGTAAAAATATTCTAAGTGTTGAATCAACCTAAACGGATCGATTCGACCTCCGACTAAAGTACATCTTGGCCCTGGTCTCTCGACCGGCCAAAACACTTAGTCAAAAAGCCTCAAAACATTTTGGCAAGTAAAACGCGAGCTAAAATGAAAGTTGCAAAACAATTTGAGCAAAATGCGCCTAAGGCAAAACGCCTAAGGCCAAAACATTAAAAGCCCCCGCGGGCAAACGAGTTTGTGGATAAAAGCCTTCCCAGGCACCAAATCCGAAACATAAAGCGTAAAAACCCCGCCGGGCAACCAAGTCTTAAAATAAATTGAAAAAGGAGTAGAGATAGAAAGAGGTCGACCAAGAGCTCAGTCCTCGACGGTCATCTCTTCATCTTCCTTCTCTTCCTCCTCGTTGCTTCCCTTCTCTTCGGCATTCGTCCCGAACGGGTTCAAGCCAACCGGGATGCTCGTCGATGGGTCGATCTCCATGCGCGCGACCGAGTCCTCCGAAACCACGGGAAGGTTGAACTTCCCGATCGAGAAATCGGAGACTTGGGCCGCCTTGGCTGCTTCGGCCACCTCATCCTCGAGCCCCTTCAACCTGGCGAGCTCTTCCTCCTGGTTGATCGCACCGGAGATCAGCGACGTAAGGAGATCGATGTTGGATTGGAGTTCGATCTGATCGCCCTCCTTCTCACCTTCCACCCTCTTCTCCTCGAACTTTGCCTTAGCCGATTCAAGCACTTCCCGATGCTTCGCGACCATCTCCCTCCGACCTGCGCGGTTGGCACGGCGAGCTATGTTGTCCTTCTCGGCGACGAGTACCTGGTTCTCCCGGCTAAGGCGAAGCGACTGCGTCAGCGCACTCGAGCTCTCCTTCTGCAAAGCCGCCATCTGCTCCTGATTCTGGGACAGCTGGCGCAAGAGATCGGCCTCCCTGGTCTCGAGCTCTTTCACACGACCCTCCTGCGAGGTGTGTTTCTTCAAGAGCTCACCCTGACGAGCTACCCGCTCGTTCGCCGCAGAGAGATCGGAGGTCAACTTGGCAACGAGCTCCTTCACCTGATCGAGCTCTTTCTGCTGAGGCGCATCTCTGATCCTCGACTCCAGGCGGGACACCAACATGTTACGAGCTGCCACAGCCTAACAAAAACAAAAATTCAACCAAGGCCAAAACAACAACAAAGACTCTCGTCTAAAGTTTTGACTAGGGAAACAGTTCATACCCTCCCACTCGCAGCGCACGTCGCGATGTAGAGCTCCTTCTCAGACATCTGGTTCAGGGACGGGAGCCGGCATCCGACGGGCTTGAAGTGGAGCTGAATGCGAGCTGTTCCCTCCTCGTCGTCCTGAACGGGGAAGCCTTGGAGTTCTCGTACTGCCAGTAAAACGGCGGCTTTCCCCCGCTCCCGTTCGAGGTAGTCGGGCCGCCCTCGCGAGAACGAGTCTCTCCATCGTCACTCCGAGCTCGCTTCGGCGCCTGCCTCGAGTGACCTTGATCCGAACTCCGAGTCCGATCGGAGCTCACATGAACCGTACTCGGGAGAGGGACGACCTCTCCTTCGGCGGTCGCGTCGACCTGGTCAACCACCTGGTCGGCAAGGGCAGAAGACCCCCACGGGCTTCGAAGCCATCCCGGTCTCTGAAGCTCCATCTTCCAAATCGAGCTCTCTGAAGCTTATCCCGGTCGTCCCAAGCTCCTTCTTTTCCCTGTCAATCATAATCTCGTTGCTTCGGTACCGTAGTCGGCGTAATTCGCAGCCGCAGGGAGAAAAAAACAACTCAGGTATGTTCAGTTGTTCATAGTTGGAATTCGTCATTTTCTTTGAATAACTCGAATAAATCAGACAATTAGGTGTTTAGCAATGCTTTTTTGTTCGATTAGTACTCTGCATTAGCAAAGAACGTAATGCAGGGCTTGAATCGAAGCGAACCGTAAGTAGAAGAGTGAGCTAGTTTTGGGAATCTCCGCCGATAGTACAACTGAGTATAACTCGTATAACTAATTGTGATAGTATAACTAGGTAAACTAAGTATAACTACGATGAATTTGCAGCTTCAAAAATCATATCTTGTGTTTTACTCTTTTATATCACAGTTTTTGGATAATTAAAAGTTATATTTGGCAAATAATTGCATTGATTTATCAGAATTGGTTTAGCCCAAAATCGTGAAACTTGGTAGAACTGGTATAACTATGTGATGTAAAAATGCATAACTGTGTAAAACTAGTAATACTGATAAAGTTTTGACTTTGTTTTGGTAGGATATGATGGGTGACGACGTCAGCTTACATTTCAAATGCAAAGGTATCTTGTACAGTTTATTGGTGAAGACATCAACGAACGAGATAACACTATTGATGGTAAAAGCTTTGATATGCAAGAAGTTTGGGTGGGATGAAAAAATGGTGGAATTGAAATTGAGATACATTCCCCTGATTGTGAGATGCGACGAATACACGACCGTAGCTTCTGATGACGATCTCAGGTGCTATCTAAGTTCAGTTGATCCCCAAGGCTGTAGATGTATGTTGCATGTAGAGGTCACGGCTTCCTCAACACAGCCCACAGCGCAAGTATCTAGAGCAGAGAAGGAAAGTTCTGTTGGTGTGAACTATAATGATGATGAAATTGGAGGTAATGCCGTGGCTCTATATGTAGGCAACAACGTCGAAGCAGAACAAGAAGAGGAGGCAGAACAAGAAGAGGAGGCAGAACAAGAAGAGGAGGAGAATGCAGAGCATGAAGAGGAAGGAGAAAAAGAAGCTCAGGAGATGGATGAGGATGATGTTACAGGCGAATATAGGCACAACGAATATGATGAACCACCTGTTGTACTAGCTAGTCAGTATACAGAGCCATGGGAAGATGGTTTGAATGTCAGATTACTTCAAGAGTTTCCAAATAAGAAGGCAGTGCAGAGAATGGTGGATAAAGCTGCATTTGAGAACTCTTTTGGTTTTGTGCTAGTGAAATCAGATAAGGAACGATATGTGGTGAAATGTCAAGATAAAAGGTGTGAGTGGAAATTACGAGCTGCAAAGGTACTAAATACACGGTTTTGTTTCTCAATTAGAACGCACCACAAGATGCATACATGCTCCCGGGCTAGTCAGAGTACAGTAAAGAAGAGGAAAGGCACTCCAGATTTAGTTGCATGTTTATTGCATGGAGATTATCCAGGATCAATGGAGACACCAAATCCTGGAACTATCCAGAAGCTTGTTCAGACCAGATTTGGTGTGAAGATATCCTACTCCACGGCGTTGAGAGGGAAAAATCGTCATGCTTATGATCTGCGTGGTGATCCAGGAGAGAGCTACAAGAAATTGTATTGTTATTTGCATATGCTAGAGAAGGTGAACGAAGGTACAAAGACAAGTGTGAAATTGGATGAAGCCGGAAAATTCTGTACCTATTCATTGCTTTGGGAGCTACCATTGAAGGGTTTCAATGTATGAGGAAGGTGATAACTGTGGATGCAACGCATCTGAAGAATGGGTATCGTGGTGTGCTAGTCTTTGCTTCAGCTCAAGATCCTAATAGGCACAACTATCCCCTGGCGTTTGGTGTACTTGATAGTGAGAACAATGATAGCTGGAATTGGTTTTTCGAGTTGCTGAAATCTGTTATACCAGACTCGTCCGAATTGGTGTTTATGACTGACAGAAATGAGAGCCTCATCAATGCCGTAGCTTATGTGTATCCAAGGGCTCATCATGGGTATTGTGTATGGCATTTGTCTCAAAATGTGAAGGATCATGCCTTTATGTCAACAAAGGCGTGGTTTCATTTTATTTCAGGGAGATGAGCAGGCATTACACGGTGGCTGCGTTTGAGGCGGCTTACAGTTCATTTGAAGCGAGATTTCCTTCTGCAGCTGCGTATCTAGTAAAGACTACGAACAATAGGAAGGAAACTTGGGCAAGGGTTCATTTTCCGGGAGTAAGGTACAACCTAGACACAAGCAACTGTGTGGAGTCTTTAAACAGTACTTTTAGGCCTGCAAGGAGATACGCCTTGATACCCATGCTTGATGCGATTATTGCACAAATTTCTAAATGGTTTAATGAACATCGGAAGGAGGCCGCTGCTGGATCAGAAGCGCATAAGTTGGTACCTCTGGTGGAAAACCTAATGCACGATATGTGGAAGGAGGCTGAGAAATTACATGCGACGGAGTTAAACAGTTTCGAGCTTCTTTATGATGTAGTAGCTAAGAAATCCGACGGCACCGCTGACCCAGAGAGTAAGAATTACAGTGTGGACTTAATCAGGAAAAGTTGCAGTTGCAGGGTGTTTGATTTTGAGAAGATTCCTTGTGTCCACGCACTAGCCGCTTTCATGGAATTCAACACCAGCAATGTAGATAGTTCTCGATATCCTATGCAATTGATTGAGCTGGTCTCACATTATTACTTGATCGAGGTGTGGCAATTGGCGTATTGGAGGACGATTTTTCTCGTGCCTCATGAATCGGAATGGAAGGTCCCTGAAGACGTGAAGGCAAAGAAAATCATACCGTTGCAACCTATCCCGAAAAAGGGAAGAAAGAGAACGAAGAGACTTTTTGGTCCCGGAGAATACCGGCGTCCAAGGACAGCAAACAAAAGGCGGAAAAGACAAGGAATCGTGTGGGGGGACCTAGAGAAAGGTTCTCAGCCAAGTCCAGATCCGGAAGTTGTGTAAAACTGGTTTTTGTTTCAGGTCCAGATCCGGAACCTATGTACTTTGTATTAATTAGTTTGTTTCAGGTTTGGATAACTATGTAAAACTGGTTTTTTGTTGTGTAAAACTATGTACTTTGTATTACTTAGCTTGTTTCAGGTTTCACAATCATATGTAAAACTGGTTTTTTGTTGGGTAAAACTATGTACTTTGTATTACTTAGCTTGTTTCAGGTTTCACAATCATATGTAAAACTGGTTTTTTGTAAAACTGGTTTAACAGTACTTAGTCTTGTAGGTTTAAAACTAGTAAAACTGGTAAAACTAGTAAAACTAGTTGGAACTTATAAAATCCACAACTTGGTAAACCTTTGACGAAATTGAAAATATATGAAAAGAGAATAGTTATAACTTCTGAAATCCACAACTTTTAAATATAATTTGTGTCTCTGGGAAAAAATAACACAATTAGAAGAAAATAGTTTGTTTGCAAGTATTGGACACTATGTCAACCATATACTTCTAAGGTCACTTTGCTAAGAACAAGCAATTCCGGATGCGAGATTCGCAGAAATCAATTGTGTGGACATATTAATGGATAAAGTGATAAACATCATATGTTAATCCGTTAAAATCTTCTGTAAAACTAGAAAAAATACATACAAGGTTAAGTAATACTGATTTAATATAAAAACCAGCCAAAGTACAACTATTTGCAGTGGTGGTACAACTAGAACCTTGGTATAACTAAGTGTATTTTTCTGAATGAAAAACGGCGCTAATTTTGTATGAAAGACGGCGCGACGGCGCCACGCACGTGTTTCGTGTGTGGTTCAGGAAAAGAAAAAAATTTACGAAAAATTTATACAAATATAAAAGGACCTTATTTTCTCTCTCTTCTCATTTTTCCATTTTCGTTCTCTCTCCTCTTGTCCTCTCTCCTCCCGACGCTCCTCCCCTTCTTCCTTCGAACCCTAGATCTGAGCCCGAGTCTCCGAGACCAGATCTGCAAATTCTCAATAATTTCTCTTCCTATTCCGATTCGCTCTTCCTTGTATATCCGACTTAAGTAAGTACAACTAATTTCTCTTCTTCTTCCGATTCGCTCTTTCTTGTATATTCGATTGCATATGGGTTTCGTTTTAGTAGTTGTAGCGAATCTGAGATCGATTGCATATGGGTTTTAGTAGTTGTAGCGAATCTGGGCTCGATTGTATTTGGGTTTTAGTAGCTGTAACGAATCTGGGATGGAATTTCAGTCTTACTAATTTTAGTGCTTTCTCCTTTTGTTCTTTTGAATTTCGGAGTTATGTGGGGATCACCAGACAAAGCTACGATGAAGGCAATGATGAGGGAGATGGACTACATCACTCTCGTCGCTGATGGTCAACGTGGGATCCCAAAGGAATGTCCATGTGGTGCACGCATCGTTCACGAGATTTCGAAAATCGAAGGAGACTTGGGAAACAGATACTTTACATGCTCGGCATATAAGGTAAGAGTTATGAGTTATACGAGGATTTCACTCCAGATTATTTGAGCTTTATGAGTGTCTGAGTTCTGAGTTCTCATTCGTGATGATATATGCAGAATGACCGCTTCCACTGGCGCATCCCTTGGTTTCACGGAGTTGAGGAAGAGTTCGACAAGTTAAGGGAAGAGATAGAGGAGCAGAAGGATAAACAGTGTCAAAAACTGTCGGATCTTGAAGCACAAGTGAAGCGAATGAGTGAGGAGCTGAAAAAACACCGTGGAATGCTTGAAAAACTGAAGGACTTAGTTGACCATGTGGTGAAGACCATCTTTGACGGATGGTAGTTCATTGGAGTAATAAACATCGATAACCTATTTTCTTATTTCAAGTGTGTTCTCAAAACTTCTTTGTCAGTGTGTTTGTTTCATGAGACATAAACCTATGTAAGATTATTATCTATTATCATCATCGTCATCATTATCTATTTTTTTGTTGTACTAGTAATACAAACTGAAACAACTTAGTTTTACTAGTAATACAAAATGAAACAACTTAGTTTTACTTAGTTTTACTAGTAATACAAAGTTGAAAACACTCAGTTTGACATAGTTTTACTAGTAATACAAAGTTGAAAACACTCAGTTTGACATAGTTTTACTAGTAATACAAAATAAAAAACATTTAGTTTGACAACATTCAGTTTGACATAGTTTGACATAGAAGACACAAAACAAACTTAATCATTGTAATACAAAAACTCCCAGTTTGACATAGAAGACACAAAACAAACTTAGTTCTTCTCATCCTCTCTCGAAACCTCTCCCTTTTTCGCCTTCTTCTTTTCCATCTCAGCCTTCTTCTTTTCTTTCTCAGCCTTCACTTCTGCCTTCTTCCTTTCTTTCTCAGCCTTTTCTTCTGCCTTCTTCCTTTCTTTCTCAGCCTTTTCTTCTGCCTTCTTCCTTTCCTTCTCTAGCTTTTCTTCTGCATTCTTCCTTTCCTTCTCTACCTTTTCTGCTGCCTTCTTCTCTATCTTCCCAGCTACCCTTGTAGACACCCTCGGCTGGTTAGCCTCCTCCAAGAGCTTCTCCCGCTTCTGCCTTTTACCCTCGTCCCGCTTCTCGTTCATTCCATCTCGATCCCGTTTTAGATGGACTTTCAGCTTAGGGCGATGAGAAATTGGTCGTTTAGGAGAAGCGACCACACTGCCGAGACTTTCACCTCCTTCTTTCTCCACATTGCCTTCAGGAGAAGCGACCACACTGTCGAGACTTTCACCTCCTTCTTTCTCCTATAATCCAACAAAGAAAAAATATTAAAAATAATATTAAGCAAAAATATACTAAAAGAATTGCAACTATTACCTTTTCGGGCTCGCTTTCTTTCTCTTTGCCAGAGACATCATCAACTTCCTTTTCCTGCGATTTATCTCTGCCATCTTCTTCCTCCATGGCTTCTTCTCGACTTTCATCGGCCATGGCTTCTTCTCGACTTTCCATGGCTTCTTCTCTTTCATCGGCCATGGCTCCCTCCATGGCTTCTTCTCGAGTTTCATCGGCATGTGGCGGTTCTTCCTCTCCCTTGTCCTGCAAAGGGTCTCTGACCTGTGGCGGTTCTTCTAAACCCTTGTCCTGCGAAGGGTCTCTGACCTGTGGCGGGTCTCGAAGTCCCTCTGCCACGTCTTCGAGATCCCTGTCACCACTTTCATTACCGTCTCTCTCTTTTGAACCCTACAATAAAAAATAGTTATACTCAGTTTCACCAAGTGTTACTTTTGTTCTAAAATCTGAAAACACATAGTTTGTTACCTGTGAGATGTCATGGCAAATGTTGTCATCCTCCATCCTCATATGAGCAGTTTGCTCATTCACATAAGCTTCAATCGGAGCTATCCTTACCTCCAACCGATCAACTTTCTTCTCAATTGTCGTCATACGCTCTTCCATCTCCTTCTTCATGCTCTGGATAAGCTCTATCAATTCTGAGGATGGCGTGTTAACAGCTTCCGGGTTCACCGCTTCGGTGTTCACCGCTTCATGGTTCTGAGGAGGAGCTTCTGCTAATCTTGCCACATCTTCGTCGTACATATCCTTCAAAAATACGACCTGCGATCGCTTTGCGAGCTTCATCCAACTCTCGACAACGACACAATGCTCATCAACGTCGTCCTCAGGTTCTGTGATTCTTTCCAGAAGACGCTTCTCACTAGCGTTTGCAGTTAGGATATTATCAATGTCCTGCAAATACAATAAACGAGTAAAGATTACTAGGTTAATAATTTACAGTAAAATTTATAGGCTTATATGCAAAAGTATAACTGACCTTAGTTGTACCAAGTTGTGCACTTATTCTCTCGAAAGGAATTCCTTTCATGTCGCATTTTTTGAACATTGACTTGCACATCTTCGGACATTCCTCATCTGCGCCTGGAAAAGGTTGTAGAAATCGTTCACCTAACTGTGGAATAGCCTCGAAAGCTAAGAACTACACAGAGAACAATGAGGTACAGTTAGAAAGCATTAGACTTAAAATATTAAAAGTTTAAAAGACAATCGAAATTGAAATAAATATTACCTCAAGAGGTAAAATGAAACCTGGAATCGGCCATGGTTGGTCTGCTTTTCAGTCCTGGAACAGCCCCATTGAAATGGGTCATTGTCTTGGAGATCCCTTCTAACATGTGATCATAGGACAATCTCCCCCAAGGAAATGTCCTACACAAACTCAGATCACCCACGGCTCTTAACAAGAATGGGTCCACGGAACTAGCTTTTTTTCCAGTCTTCGTCTGCCCTTTGATAATGCTAGCTAAAAAGTACAATATCAGCATCCTCAGCCTGTCATCAGAATTCGGAGAGGCTTCATCTTCTCTAACATTGGCTTAAGATCTTGATATCTTACTGTTGAACCCAGCTTAAAATACTTCTCCACAAATGCCATTTTCCCAGATTTATTTTCCGCAAAACCGCTTGGATAGTTATGGGAATACAATCCCGATATCAAGGCATGTTCCCTTAGACCATAACGGATAGGCACGCCATTTACAATGAACCAAACTTCTTTTTTCTTCTCAATGCATGCGGTTCGAAGAAGCAGCGTCCAAATTCCCTGAAGCTTGTGGTTTCGGTCCCTTGACATGTGGAAGATGTGTTTGAACTGCGGGTGAGTCTCAAACCAATTCTTCTCCTTGTCTGTAAGCTTAGGCCGTAAATCGCGGAAGGTCTCGAACAAGTCATGCAAATAACACCTCGTCGATATCTTCACTTTCTTAGTGTACTCCGTCGGCGGAAAATACATCCTCAAAGGTCTCATTGGTTCCACTTCCTCTTCCTCTTCCTCGCCCGAGTACTGCAAAACACATGTACCAAGTATTACCTAGTTGTACTTTCATATCTAAATATAGTTTTACCAAGTTATACCAGTATTACTCTTTCATAACCAACAAAAACGAAATGAGAGTTAAACGAGGAAACTCCTAATCAATCCTGACACTCTCCTCTTCAATCCTCAACAATCTCACAGGAAATGCGAGTTAAACAAACCCGGAATCAGAGATAAACTAACGATCATATACTAACAACCAAAATCCAATTCAACAACATTTTTCCCTAATTCAGTTGCTCTTGATTGTCAGAGTACTTACGCTTGAATCGGGGTCACTCTCACTTTGTCTCCTCCCTCCGTCGCTCCCGTCACAAGCTCCTTCTCCAGTCGGAGGGTCTCTCAAACTTTGACTCCCTCCGTCGCTCCCGACTCCATCTTCTGCTCCTTCTTCAGTCGGAGGGTCTCCTCTGAGTTCTCTTTCACTCCTAGTTTCCTCTGAGTTCTCGTTCTCTTCCTCAGGTCGAGCCCGTTGCTTTTCCGCGCCGATCTCGGGTGACGCTGATTCGACATCTCCTTTCTTTTTCTTTCGACATTCTTTCTTTTTTTCTTCCCCAACACCTTCTCGAGATTTCTCGTGAGTACCATCTTCAATTTCGAAATTCTCGTTCAAACTCTCACTCTCTTCGGAGTTCGATTCTCTTTCGAATTTTGAATTCTTCTCAGAAACGCGAAAGAAACTGAAACGGTGAAGCGAGAAAGAGAACGCGATTTTAGGGATTTAGGGTTATCCCGATTTCAGATGGATATAACCCGTTGGATCCGGATAATTGGTGGTCGGATCTGTAATTACTACAACTTTCCCGGATATTGTTGTCTTTTACTCGTTTTTCGAATTAAAAATAAATGGCCATAAAATAGAAGAAAATAGGGGGATAGATGAGATTGTCAAAGAGAGATATAAGGAGAGGAGAGATGATGACTCCCACTTCTCAAATTTCTGAGATTAGGTTCTAATTTGATGGAATCAATTGGTAGTGATGTGTGGTGAATTGCGGCACAACACAACCCCCAGATTTCGGGGTCAAGTCTTAACATCAGCATCCTTCAATTATTCCTTATCGGCGATGAACACCTCCAGACTCCAACCGCCGATGAAACCTTGGTGAATTCCTTTCAACCATAGATTATTTGATTTTGATACACCGGTTATAGATGGCTTCTGATTCATCTCTCCGTGGTCATGGTTTTATTTTTCCCATAATTATGCAGCTCTCCTATCTCTCTAAAACACGGCACTCACTCTCTATCTCTCTCTAAAAAACGGTGCCTCCACAAACCTAGATCGGAGCCGCAACGATATTTCCAATGGATCTCCACCGTTTTCTCTTGCCTGAACGGAGACCTTCGCCTCGGAAGCTAACGGACATGTTCTCGAAAGGCTATGTGGCAGGGATCTTGAAAGACTAAGTGGATTCAGAGATGGAGGTCAGTGTTTCTACTCTTTTGTTTCTTCTTCATTTCTTATACTTGTAAAGATGTTGATGGTTTCCAAGAATTATCTATTGTATCAAAGCCATTATGGAACTTGAATTTGAAGGTTTCTTACTTGTTTTGTTCCAATCGCCAATTTGATTCCAGTGATGTGCTTTGTGTTTAAAGCTAAGAATAGTTGTGTTTGATTCCAGTGATGTGCTTGTTCGGTTTGCATATGTTATGTTTTCGTTGATTTTGTCTTTGTGAAATGAAACCTTATTATGTGTATTCTCATGTTTCTTTCTGTTTTTTTAATTTTCGCCGGTAGCTAAATGGTACACTTAGTATATTCTTATTTGGATGTGACAGTAGGTGCTGCCTAAGAAACTGTTCCATCTTTGTTTGAGATCGGGTCTGTGTATAAGCCAAAGCCAGTGACGTTTGCTGTATGTTTCATGTGTGGAAAGTTGAAAACCACTTGGTTTATATTTCCTTACGGTTGCTCTATATCATCAGTATCCGACTACAATGTCGCTTCCTTTTAACTTCTTATACACTATTAACCTTCATTCTAACTGTAGATTCTCTCAAGTCTCAACTCTAAGATTACCCTCACATTCTCTTCCAAAATGGATAATGTGCCCACTACAGGTGACAAACTACCTTCATTCACTTTCTTTATCATACGTTTTAAACTTTACCATTGTTCCCCCTCGGTGTTTATGGTCTCTCTCATACGTTTCTCGGTCCATGGACAGGACATCTCGGAAAAAGTTCAACAGCATTTTTTTTAACGCTACGAAGCCTCTATACAAATATAGAAATCGGTGAGTTTCCTTCCATTTACCACTTACGTTTTTACGTCCCTGCTTTTTCTTCGGGCATTTTGTTTATACGCATTACACCATAAACATTGTCATACACTAACAGTGCTATAACTGCTCATTTGTGGTTTTCAATGGAACTCTTTGATAAGAGAGACTTTGAACAAGAGAGTGGTATCTCGTGACGATAGGGACGACGGTATTAATGGTATTGCACAAGATTTCAGGTGTATCGTAAGTAAGCAGATGGTCGGAATCCTGATCACCGTTTGGGTCCGCGTTGAACTCCGGCCGCACATCCGTCATCCTAGCGTCTCCTGCGTTGGATGTGGCGTTATGGGTTGCTTAGGAAACAAGGTAATTAACTCCTTTGATCTTTTCGTTAATTTATTATATTTTTCAAATCTCACTGTTATATTTATATGTATATCGATTTAGGTGTTGACTGTTGATAGAAAATAATTACGTTTGTCTTTCTGAATGTGGTTGTACTTATATAAATTTATAATATATAGCAGATTATTTTAATTTGTGGTTGTATGGTTGACAATGATTAGAAAGAAAATTGTGGTTGTGGTTGAACATGTATATATAACTAGATTAATCGAAAATTCATTAAAGGTGCAGAGGAGAGGAGAGTGGAGAGAGTAGAGATTACGTTTTAGACGGATAATAAAAGTTTTAGATATAGGAATAAAAGAAGCAGAATTTTCTTAGAGTGCCACGTGGCCAACTCTCCCACGCTGACGTGGCGGTCAGCTGGAGAGAGTTAGAGTTGGCCAACTCTTATAGTATAGAATTAATCTATAAATGACGCTAATAAACATATTTTAGTATCACTTAATTGTAAATGATGCTAAAAATCAGTATTTTCAGTATTTTTAAAAATTAATAATGATGGTCTGGATTAAAAAGAAATTGCAGAATAAAAAAATAATTTGCCGTTACCAGAAAATCATCTCTCTTCCTCTCCGAGCTCGATCGAGGATCAAGTGCGCTCCCGAAACTTCCGAGCCCATTATCCTCGCCAACGCCTCCGACGTCTCTCACTTTGGCTATTTCCAGCGATCTAGCGTCAAGGAGTTTGTCGTCTTTGCCGGTCGCACCGTCGCCAGCCGAACCCCTCCTTCCCAGCGCCAATACGTTCAGCGCGAAGGTTCTTCTCCTTCTTCTACCTCATAGATCGCTAGTTTTTTTCTTTATTCTCTCGGATCTATCGCCATTTCCTTTTTCCTCTTTGTGTTTATTTGATTCTGCTGAATCGGATCGGCTTTTCGATTTCCCAACTTTTATGATTAGGATGTGTGCAATTGTTTTCTCACCTCTTCCGATTCTAGGTTTTTACGGGCTATGCGATGATTGACGAATGTAATTCGTTGTAATTGTTCTCGATTTTGGGGAAATGATTGATGAATGTAATTCGTTGAAATGATTGATGAATGTAATTCGTTGTAATTGTTCTCGAACCTTGTTATAATCCCCATCTAGGTTCTCGTCAGGATGAAATGATTCGTTTTGCTTGACATTCAAATTTTCTCAGGTCCTAGATGAGTAGCAGAAGATGAATGATCTTCTTAATACTCTTCTCAACACTAGAAGGTAAGCTCCTCATACAAGTTCTTTGTGATGATGTTGTGTTCTCTGTTATGATCTTTTACTAATATATCAGTTTTCACGTTTGTGCAGACTGCAGAGAATTCAGTGAAGGATTATAGTTTTGTGGCTTCACCTCGAGTAAGTTCTCAAACCAAATATAATCTCTAAGTAACTTAATTGACTAGATTGTTCTAGGAGCTTACCTTCTGATAAAGTAGTCAAAATGTAGTACCTGAGTTATAATTGCTGCCTTTGTTCTGTACCTGAGTTGTATTTCTGTACCTGATATAATGACTGCGTTTGATTATTTCTCTGCAGTTTCTATGAAATATACATTGAAGAAAACGTGAAGGAGACATAAAGCATATACATTGAAGAAGGTAAGCTCTAGTACTTTGTGATTACGTCAAATTAGTTCTTGTTCTGAGATAGTTAATCGTCTTAGCTTTTGTTCTAAAGTTGTTTTGAAATTGGGGTTACTTAAAGCTGAGTCTATGATGCAGTTTGATGCTTATGGTGAAATCTGATTTGTCTGGTTATCTCCTTCTCATGCATTTGCTGATTGTGATTTTGTTTAAACCTTAAACTCTGTTGTGATACTCTTACAGCAATGATTGTGAAATAATAAGTGAATTGTGAAAATTTTCTATTTGGTTACAAATATTAAAGATCTGCATATATTTTCCATTAAATAGCATAAATAATATATAAACAATTGTTATAAATATTTTTAAAATCGAAAACTGATATAAATATTTCGAAATTAATTATATATATATATTCAATATATATTGTTAACATATTCATTTTTATATAAATATATAACCTGTTGATTTTTTTTTAATATACTTCCACTTAAAATCCTAAACTATGCAAAAATAATTTATTAAAAACATTTTGAAAATAAAAACATATATATATATATATATATATAATTCCAAATTAGTGATACATTTTTTCTTCTTCAATATAGTGGATTTCTGAGCATATATATGAATATATAATGAATTTAACTGTAAACATGGTTTTTCCAATAAATAATTTCATACAAAATTATAAAATCATTTTACATTTCTAAAAAAGTAACATTTGAATTTATATTAGAGATTTTAATTATATAATAATTTCCCCAATAAATATAGTGTCTTATATGGAAGTCTTTTAATTATTAGTAGATTCAGATAAATATTATGTTCCCATATTAACAATAAATTGGCCTATAAATCAGGTAGCCCTATGCATTTCGGGTTTTGTAAAGGGAATTGACGGGAATGGGACGATGATGGGAAATTTGGAAACCAAATATGATATCCGAAGTATTCCTTTATTATAATGAGACGGGAATGAGAATGGGAAGGGAACATGAAATTTGGGAATACAAAATTAATACCCGAAGTCTTAGTAAATCGAGAAAATTTAAGATATTTCAGGAAATTATGGGAAAATAAGGGAAATTATGGGAAAATTGGGGTATTTACGCAAAAATATATAATTTTCAGTTTTTATAAATGGGAAAATTGGGAAATCTCATACCCTTCCCAAACTATTTGAATAAAAAAAATGTACCCAAATAGGAAATTGAAAATTCCTATTCCCGAAAAGTTCGGGAAATTTTAAATGAGTAAGGCTGGGAACGGGATTCACGTCCCGAAATGCACAAGGCTAAAATCAGCCATAAATTATCATGTTTTTTAACAATGATTTTATTTAATACAGTACTGAACTTAACATATATAATGTTAGCAAATTTGAATTGATTTCGCATAATATTGTTTTTGTTTCCAGAAAATGAAGAAAAACATCATACCATATTTAACCATAACGATTAAAAATAATAAATACAATATTACCAATATTCAAAACAATAACAATTTAAATGTAGTCATTTGATTTGTTATTTTCACAATCTTATTATATTATTATATTGTAGTTATTTGATTTTTTTTGTTCTCATTCAGTTTTATCATCTGTAATTTATAGAAATGGTCAAAACTTTATTTTTTTACCTTCTTAAAAAATTACTTAAAATGCTTAATTTACACACTGTAAAACGAAGATAACATCCAAACCATCAAATTAATATGTCGCATAAGATTTTGAGTTATGTAAATAAACATTTTAATGTTAAAAAACATTACAGTAAAATATCACCCGTAAACCCTAGTTAATGTATTGTTGTGTAATCTCAGAAACAAAACATTTACAAGTCTATGGTAAATGTAATTCATAAAATTTATTTTCCAGACTTTAAACCTAGTTTGACTTTAGAAATTTGTTGCACCAAGCAGTGCGGGCCCGAGAAGAGGTGACACCTAAAGCGACAAAAATATTTCGGCCCATTTAGAATAATGTATGTTTAAAAAATTTAGTGAAATCAGCAGAGTTTGGACTTGAACAGGTGACCTTGAAGCAAATATAGATAGACACGACCACTACACTAATGCTACCTTCTAGTATTTTGGCGCCCCTAAAAATTTAATAAATATTGGCGCCTAAAGCACTTGCTTCATGAGCTTTACCATTAACCATTGTACTGTATTTTGTCCACATATCCCATTTTAGTATTTACCATATTGACAAAAGGTATATGTCAACATATGGTCAACACAAATATGGTAAATACCATATTTTGTCAATGGGATATGTTAACATATGACAATGGGATATTTGGTAAATACCATATTTTGTCAACATATCCCAATATCCCATTGTAGTATATAACATACCATCACTTTATCCAAGCACGCGCTATGCTCTGCAGAACTCTTACTTATTGTTCCTCAACAAGCAGCTATCAAAAATCAAAATCCTGGAGCAATAATTGAGACGACACAACAAATCCATCACATTCGAATTTTTAATAGTGGGTTATTACGATAAATCAAGCAGTATTGGGGCTAATGTGCAAGTTTATAAAAATATAGGGCAGTTTCTTGCATTGCCAGATCTCTTTCCCCTTCCTTACCGTCGAGACGAAGAACCCGCTTTCTCTGAAAACCGTAATCTCATCTCACGTATAACAAACGGACTTTTTTGTTTGTTTGTATTTGCTTACCTTCTCCTTTAAACTTCGATAGCTGAAAATTCTAAAATCTGGATTCACACCTGAGAAGTTTGTTAATCCGCACATCATCAGATTTCTGCAATCGGAGATGGAGATCGATTCCGTCGCAGCTGGCTCTTGTTCTAAAGAGAATCAAATGATCTACAAGGAATGGTTCGAATTCGCCGATTCAGGTCTCATTTGTTTTTCTAATTCTGCTTCTTCTATCTACGCTTTTCTTATTCAATTTGTGCGCTAAGAGCTTCTCTGTTTGGTGTAACGAGCATACGGCGATGGGCGCATTACTGGTGCCGATGCGATCAAGTTCTTCTCTATGTCGAATTTGCCCCGGCCGGAGTTGAAGCAGGTACGGATTTTTGAGTTGAATTGACTGCGTTGGTTTCCTTGTGGAATCTTATTAAACAGTTATTTTTTTTGGGCCACTATAATTTTGTGGGGTTTATCCAGTGATTGAACAAGTTCACTTGAGTATACAGAAGATGCTATGATGATTGCTTGAATAGTATTGAGTTCTTTAGCAAAGGCTTCAATTCATAGCTTTTAAGGATGCACATAGGTCTTTTTGGTGCTTCTGATATCGTTGTGTTTAATTGGTTATTTGGCAAAATAAGCAATTTATTAGTCTTTTGGTGATTCCGCTCAATTGTTTAAAAGATGCTAACTGTGAAGCTTATGCTTCTTCTCTTCTGACTTTCTGATAGGTCTGGGCAATTGCAGATTCAAAGAGACAGGGGTATCTTGGTTTCAAAGAATTTATTGTTGCTATGCAGGTTGAGATCCATTCTACATCTCCCATTTAAATGTCCATGGCTCCATGTGAATCTAATATGTTGTTATTTTCAACATTGTAGCTCGTTTCTTTGGCTCAAACTGGACATGAAATATCGCATGAAGTCCTTCATAGCAACGGTATGATTTATTTTCCGAACTCATGCTTAAATGCTAGCTTCAGTCTCTATATGCTCAGTGTATAGAACCTTCGTAGGCCTTGCTTCTACAATTTATATATTGTTCTTGTTTTGAAACATTTCTGGTTAATTGCAGTTGATTTCAAAATTTTGAATCCTCCTACCATGGAAGGTCTGGGTGTATTAATGGGGGTTAGTATTGGGCCTGCAGTTTCCAGTTTATGTCTTTCGAATTTAGATAACTATTACTAACTTTTCATTCCACGCAGAAGAAGAAGCATTCATCAAAGTCCAGTGATCCTAATGTGAATGGTACAAAGAATCTCTTTATACTAGACCCAACAGTTTAAGTTGTGTAGTTTTATTCTCATTAGATTCAAACTGTTCAGGAAGTCCTGCTGCAGATCCATCACTTACAGCTCATTGGTTCTCTTCAAAATCTTCAAAAAAGGTTTGTTTTACTCCAAACAGCCGATTGCACCACCAACCATTTACTGCCTTCAGAATACGTCCATATTTAGTAAACATATCTTTGATGGTCTTTGTTACCTAAGAACTGCTTTAGTATTAATATACATCTACAGTTTGAGTAAACTGAATATCATGTTCTCAGATTTCTCTGTCCTCCGTAACATCTATAGTCGATGGACTGAAGAGGTTGTACATTCAGAAGCTGAAGCCACTCGAAGTTGCTTATCGGTTTAACGATTTTGTATCCCCTTTGTTGGTAAGTTGGGCATTGCTTATTGGTGTGCTTATCACAATTATTCTGGATAATTGTTATTCAAGTTCCAAATGCTTTTGAGCTGTAATCTATATTGACCATTGAACTGATTACCTGTGTTTTGCTTAGACTAACAGTGATTTCGATGCAAAACCTATGGTAATGCTTCTGGGCCAGTACTCCACAGGAAAAACAACATTTATTAAGCATTTGCTAAAAGCTAGTTATCCAGGCAAGTTGTCCATCTTATCCTCTCTCCTTCTGGGACCTTACTGGTTTCAATGTTTAAAAAGGAGATATGAACAGGTCAATGATAAACCATAAAACAGCTTCTTATAAGTGCAACTATCATATTCTGCAGGAGCTCATATTGGACCAGAACCGACTACTGACAGATTTGTCGTTGTCATGGTATGTTAACTGCTAATTTGCCAATGCTTTCATTTGTGGGAGGATCTAATAGTCCTTTAAACCGTTGATCATATTATCTTTTGCTAAACATTTGTTTTCACTTTGTGTTGAATAATACACATTTTAAGTTTTACCTATGTGGTTGACAATGGTAGCTAGATTACTTCATTTTCACCTCTCCTGAAGGGTGACTTCGATCTGTTTATTGTGTTTTACAGTCTGGACCTGATGAAAGAAGCATTCCGGGGAACACAGTAGCTGTTCAAGCAGATATGCCATTCAGTGGTCTTACAACTTTTGGGACTACTTTTTTGTCAAAGTTTGAATGTTCTCAGATGCCTCACCCTGTATGTTTATTCTCATCCTTCCCAATGAAGATTGGTCTTTGTATTTGCTTATATTGATTTGCTGATAACTGTTTATCCATTCATTTCTGGTGAAGCTGCTCGAGCATGTAACATTTGTGGACACTCCTGGAGTTCTATCAGGCGAAAAGCAACGGACACAGAGAGCATATGAATTCACTGGTGTCACATCATGGTTTGCTTCTAAGTGCGATCTCATCCTCCTCCTATTTGACCCGCACAAGCTGGATGTAAGCGATGAGTTCAAGCGTGTAATTTCATCTTTACGCGGTCATGATGACAAGATCCGCGTTGTTCTGAATAAGGCTGACCAAGTGGACACTCAGCAGGTTGACGCCCATTCTGTTATCGATTCCTATTTTGTTCCTTCTTTACACACTCTTTTGATTGTTTTCCATGTTCTGATATGTTTACATATCTTGTATAGCTAATGAGGGTATATGGAGCTCTCATGTGGTCACTTGGGAAAGTTCTCAATACTCCTGAGGTTGTCCGTGTCTACATTCGGTAAGTGTACCTGTTTGTAACTTATTGGCAATGTTTTGCTTAACTTAGAAACGTTTTTGAAGCTCAAATATATGTTTTGATTTCTTTGTTTGCTTGTTTTGAGCCAGGTCGTTCGGTGATAAGCCTATAAACGAAGCTGCGGCTGGTCCAACTGGGAGAGAGTTGTTTGAGATGGAGCAAGAAGACCTTCTCTCTGATTTGAAAGACATTCCAAAGAAAGCTTGCGATCGTCGAGTGAGTGTGAACCTTGCCTTATTTCACTTCCTCCACTCTGATTGGATCTAACCATATAATTTTTCTGTATAACAAACAGATAAACGAGTTTGTGAAACGGGCAAGAGCTGCAAAGATACATGCATACATCATCAGCCATTTAAAGAAGGAGATGCCAGCCATAATGGGAAAAGCCAAAGCTCAACAGAAACTGATAGATAACTTGGAAGACGTCTTTGGAAAGGTTTATTTGAATTTCTAACCATTCTTTACAATATGCGCAATTCCTGATTCTGAGAATCTTTTACCAATGAGTGTGTGTGTGGCATGAAAACAGGTACAAAGAGAGCATCATTTACCAATAGGAGATTTCCCAAATGTGGAGCATTTCAGGGAGGTGGTAAGTGGTTACAACATCGACAAGTTTGAGAAGCTAAAGCCGAAAATGTTGCAGACTGTTGATGATATGCTGGGGTATGACATTCCAGAGCTCTTGAAAAATTTCAGAAACCCTTATGATTAAAGATTATTTCATCCCTTCTTAGCTCTGTGGTTACTGTTATAATCCTATGTATACATTTTCACCCGTTTGGCTTAAAACTGCTTTTGTGAGCATAACTGCAAATTTGTATTCTTGTAGACAATAAATAAACAACACACAGAGAGTGCTGACTTGAAATGAGCATATATAGACAATCAATAACATAAACAACAACCTTTTGAAGGGAATAAGAATTATTTATTTCATAAGTTAAGCTAAACCTGAATCATGATTTTATTAATTTCCAAAAATTGAAAAACACAAGGTTCAAAGAGTTGGAACAGATATGCCCATAAACCATGTTATATGAAAATCATCATCGTCTTCCCTTGCATCACTGCGATAGCTTTGGCAAGTTCCTTTACAGCTCCAGTGTTCTGAATATTCCTGCTTTCACTTAACAAATGAGGTAAATTCTATCACTGAGCACCAAAGGTGAGAGACGACGACAATTGCTTGTGACGTAAGCCCATGTAAATTTTAGGCAGCTTTTGCTTCCTTTATCGAATCTGACGTATCAAACTCTTGCTCAGAAGGATGTTCCTGATGTCTATCATCTAAACCATTTAACCCTTTGCCTTCTTGTGACTGGATATTTTGTAGAGAATCTTGGACATTTGGAGTTCCTTCCTCGGCTTGGGCGTGATAGTTAGATGACACATTAGGAGGTTGACAAGCCGTTTCCTCTGTCTGGTAAGCTGAATTCTCTTGTGGCATGGATGGTTCGGGAGTGATCTTCGAATCTTGATCTGATATAACTGCGGCTGGACATTTCTCTGTTGGGTGATTCTCGCAAGTATCAGAAGCAATTTTCTTCGCAGCATTCTTGCTCGATTCTTGACCGTCCTCTGATGTTGTTTTATCATTCAGAGAGTCTGAATGAGATGTAGACGACTCTGATGGATTCTCACACTTAGCAACATTTTCCATATGAGCTTGTGGTCCATCATCAGCATTCAGTGCTTGACCTAGAGCTGCATCTTCAGTTGCTTTTGCTGTCTTAGAATGTAACACTACCGGTTGAGAATTGCTACTGGAAGTAAAATTCAGTGCATGGACTTGAGTGGTAAGGTCCGTATACAATATAGAACGGTCAGCCATTCCAGAGGCGGTCGAGCTGCTATCACCATTTTCAGTAACTGCTGGGGCTTTTGCTACAAGGCCACTAGTTATTGGTGTACCCAGCGTAGCTCTTGAGGTTGCATTCCCGGGAACCTGGTTACAAACAGGCAATGGAGAGGTACTGCTCATAGTGCCAACTGGTGTTGTTAAAGGTCTTGAGATGAGGCCATTGTACGGCACTGCACTTGTACTTGAGGGTGCATTCACGTGAACCAGGTTACCAACAGGCAATTGAGAAGTGCAGCTCATAGGTGTTAAAGGTTTTGATATGAGGCCATTGTTCGTCACTGCACTTGTACTTGCAATTGCTCTAGGATTTGGAGTCTTGGTAAGTAAAATCGGTGCTGTAGAACTGGTACCACATATAAGACTTTCTCTAAAGCCTTGTGGTCCAGAGTTACTAGTCTTTGCTGCGCTTGCAGTAGTAGTTGCTGCTCCAGAAACAAAGCCAGGAAAAGGTTTTGGTTGATTAACCGTTATATCCATCGGCCCAAGCTTCTTTGCTTCGGATGATTGAGCTCCGGCTGTACTGGAAGACGATTTCGTTGTTACGGCGCGACCATATTTCGGAGGAAATGGCTTCCCATTTAATGCTTGCACACATCTTGAGCAATACCTATCAGATTTTGGAACCCCTTTCATATTGTTTGCTTGCAAGCATTTCAAGTGGTACGCTTTTTCACAGCCATCACAAACCAGTAGAGTGCAGTTCACTGATGATAATTCCACACATCTGGCATTCCAATGCTGTGCTCATATAATCTCTTGAAGGTGGATTCCACAAAGGGTATTGTTTAACCAGTGGTTGCAGAACTTTCTGGACTATCTTAGCGATCTCACTGTGCTTGTTTCCAAACGAAGAAGCCTGACCATAATGCCTTCTCTGCATCGGCTGATTTGTAACATGCGGAGTTTGAGACATGAATGGCCTAAAGCTTGGATCTGCTACCCTGACAGAACTTTGAACATGCACCTTCTTATCTGGTGCAGTACTGAATGATATGGTGGATTGAGGTTGAGGAGACCAGGATGCTGCATAATAGTTTGAAGAAGGAATTGCTGGAACACATGAAGAAGTAATATTTAGAAACAAACTCGATGAAGAAGAAGCTATTAAAGAAGTAGAAATATAACATGTAAATTTAGCAACTCAATATAGCAACCTAACAAAAAAGAAACGTTAACATGACCAGTCAGCTTTGGAAACTTTAAGCAAGCAATAGACCACATTCGCAAAAAATATTCTGATTTCTGAGCATGGAGAGAGCTAATAACTGAATGATTGGCCAATTAGCATCTGGATTTGCCTATAATAATCACCTCCACTAAGTCTATAACTCTTCTTGTATAGAGCCATAGCAAACCAACCAAAAACTCCTAGCCACAATTAAAGAGAAATATAGAAGGCTGACTTACGATTGCCCTGAGAAGCACCATTAAACATCATCTGAGGTCTCTGGCTTCCACTAGTATTAACACTGTGAACACCACTACTAGGCCACTGATGTGT